TTCTGCAAGTCATCTCATTGATTCTGCATCACTTGAAAACAGTAGTATTTTGGGCTCCACCCTCGTGGTTAGGGAATTTATGAGTTATAATGAGTGTGTGTGTGTGTGTGTGTGTGTGTGTGTGTGTGTGTGTGTGTGTGTGTGTGTGTGTGTGTGTGTGTGTGTGTGTGTGTGTGTGTGTGTACTCACCTAGTACTCACCTAATTGTGTTTGCGGGGGTTGAGCTCTGGCTCTTTGGTCCCGCTTCTCAACCGTCAATCAACAGGTGTACAGGTTCCTGAGCCTATTGGGCTCTATCATATCTACACTTGAAACTGTGTATGGAGTCAGCCTCCACCACATCACTTCCTAATGCATTCCATTTGTCAACCACTCTGACACTAAAAAAGGTTTTTCTAATATCTCTGGGGCTCATTTGGGCACTCAGTTTCCACCTGTGCCCCCTAGTGCGTGTGCCCCTTGTGTTAAATAGCCTGTCTTTATCTACCCCTATCAATTCCCTTGAGAATCTTGAATGTGGTGATCATGCCTCCCCTAACTCTTCTGTCTTCCAGCGAAGTGAGGTTTAATTCCCGTAGTCTCTCCTCGTAGCTTATACCTCTCAGCTCGGGTACGGTACTAGTCTGGTGGCAAACCTTTGAACCTTTTCCAGTTTAGTCTTATCCTTGACTAGATATGGACTCCATGCTGGGGCTGCATACTCCAGGATTGGCCTGACATATGTGGTATACAAAGTTCTGAATGATTCCTTACACAAGTTTCTGAATGCTGTTCTTATGTTGGCCAGCCTGGCATATGCCGCTGATGTTATCCTCTTGATATGGGCTGCAGGAGACAGATCTGGCGTGATGTCAACCCCCAAGTCTTTTTCCTTCTCTGACTCATGAACTCATGAAGAATTTCATCTCCCAGATGATACCTTGTATCTGGCCTTCTGCTCCCTACGCCTATCTTCATTACAGTACATTTGCTTGGGTTAAACTCTAACAACCGTTTGTTCGACCATTCCTTCAGCTTGTCCAGGTCTTCTTGAAGCCTCAAGCTGTCCTCCTGTGTCTTAATCCTTCTCATAATTTTGGCATCGTCAGCAAACATTGAGAGCGCACACACACACAAACTTTTCTGTGTGCGTGCGTGCGTGCGTGCGTGGGTGCCCGACCCCTCTAATCGTCAACAGAATGTCAGACCAACAATAGCCGCTTATTCCCCCCTTCAGCACTAGCAGTAAAGTGTGTGATTATGCGACTGTCAGTCATATGTTTACAAACATATCAGCTTGTTTGTAAACATTCTTCTTCCGTCAGAGTTCAATGAATAGTTGCTATTGTCTTGTATATATGTGTCTTTGTCTTTCCTGACAGGTGTTTCTTGGTGTGTGTGTGTTTAAGGTGTTGAGGTCAGGAATTAAGTTTTTTTTTAATTGCATATACTTGTACTTACCTAATTGTACTTGTATGGGTTGAGTTTTGGCTCTTTGATCCCGCTTCTCACCTGTCAATCAACTGGTATACAGGTTCTTAAGCCTATTGGGGGTTCTGTCATATCTATATTTGAAACTGTGTATGGAGTCAGCCTCCACCACATCACTCCCTAATGCATTCAATCTGTCAACTATTCTGACACTGAAAGATTCTTTCTAATGTCTCTGTGGCTTTTTAGTACTCAGTTTCCACCTTATTTATGTGTTTTTTTATTATCAATATAACCTCCCCTGGACACAGCAAGTGACTGTGCCCCTATTCTTTACATAAAGGTAATTTAGATACAGGTTCAGTATACGCTGTGCAAAGTGTAAAACTGTTTTATAAAAATATCCTATAAGGGGTTTCAGTCTAGGGTTAGCATACCCTGGGGGACAATCCCTGTCCAGGTCGAACACTCTTCACTAAAAAAAAAGGCGGGAAAAGGTTTTGGGAAAATCTTAAAATATACCTGTGAGTAAAGTCAGGCGCTCTGTCAGCCCCAGAGACGCCCTCGCCCTCCCTCCCTGTGGAGAGACCTCAACCCTGCCAAGAAAATCATTCCTCCTGTCTGAGTTTTTGACAACTCTCCCTCTCTCTCTCTTCTCTCTCTCTCTCTCTCTCTCTCTCTCTCTCTCTCTCTCTCTCTCTCTCTCTCTCTCTCTCTCTCTCTCTCTCTCTCTCTCTCTCTCTCTCTCTCTCTCTCTCTCTCTCTCTCTCTCTCTCTCTCTTCTCTCTCTCTCTCTCTCTCTCTCTCTCTCTCTCTCTCTCTCTCTCTCTCTCTCTCTCTCTCTCTCTCTCTTCTCTCTCTCTCTCTCTCTCTCTCTTCTCTCTCTCTCTCTTCTCTCTCTCTCTCTCTCTCTCTCTCTCTCTCTCTCTCTCTCTCTCTCTCTCTCTCTCTCTCTCTCTCTCTCTCTCTCTCTCTCTCTCTCTCTCTCTCTCTCTCTCTTCTCTCTCTCTCTCTCTCTCTCTCTCTCTCTCTCTCTCTCTCTCTCTCTCTCTCTCTCTCTCTCTCTCTCTCTCTCTCTCTCTCTCTCTCTCTCTCTCTCTCTCTCTCTCATGACAGGGCGCGAAATGCTCTTTGGCGCTGTAATTTTCTTGGTTGCTCTTTCTATGTGCTTCTTCTTCTTAGTGATGGAATTTCCTTGCCCAAGATGTCCGCTTCATCACCCAGCACAATGTGTTCCGTCTATCCTTATGGAGTGTCCCAGATTCAGTCTTATGTAATTTAGTTATGATCATCATTGATGATTAATGAATGTTATAGTAGTCGGCACTTCCTCTCTTGTATATTGTACGGTTTGAGTGCGGGGCTTCAGCATAAGCCTGAGCTTCAGGAATCTTGGTGAGCATTGAAGTAGTGATCACCATGATTTCTGAAGTGATCATCTACTTCAGTAGGTGATCACTGAAGTAGACATTCCTTAAGAAAGGACCAAGCACTCGAACCTGTGGTACACCAGCCTCAGTTGAGCGACTTTGGGAGTCTGCTCCATTAAAGACTCCTCTTACAGCCCGTTCTTGAAAGGAGTCTATCATTACCTGTAGAATGGAACCCGACGTCTCAAGGGCTTATTGACGCTTAACTAGCAGTCAAGGACACCCGGACAAGGCACTGCCAACGTCGTCAACACAGCTGGTCCACGTGGTGGAGATGCTCAACAGGAGATGAACAGCAGAATCACTTTTCCTGAAGCTATATTGTCATGTCTCTCTATAAGGCAGAGGACTTGTAGCAGCGAAGCTTTAAGGAAGGTCAAGTACGTCACCGTCTCGGGCTGACCATATCGGACTCCATTGACGAGTGGTTCAACATCATGCCTGTTTAACAGTCACTGCTGACCAGACAGCTTTGACGTATGTTCCCCGGAGCATACCTGGAAGATACCTGGAAAGGATTGACTCCATGATGTCGCTGCCACCTGAGTGGACACACACAGTACCTGCCTGGTACTACACCACACCACAGTACCTGCCTGGTACTACACCACACCACACAGTACCTACCAACCAAACCTGTACATCAATAGGGTGTACCCCTGTTGATCTATACCCCCTGGGGGCGCTCCCCAGCCCCCAGGAGGTATAGACCGCCTGCCAGGTTCCCCAGAGAACCCCATAGACTGGTCCTTGAGGTAAAAGGATTTCCATTATGGAGCTGCTTGAGTGTCTGGGCCGGAAGTCTTCCTGAAGGGGGGAAGTGGATCGGTGGTGTCAAGTGTTCGTGGTCTTAGAGGGCAGGTGGTGGGTCTTAGTGGTGAAGGACAGGTGGTGGGTCTTGAATTTTTACACAGGAAATTTGACTTTTTCCTATACAGCTTTTTTCAGCCTTTGTCACGTAAAGACTTTGTTAATTTGTCACGTAAAGACTTTGTTAACTTGGTCACGTAAAGACTTTGTTCATTTGTAACGTAAAGACTTTGTTAATGTGTCACGTAAAGACTTTGTTAATTTGTCGCAAAAGTCTTTGTCGTATTTCTTTTTTCACATTAATCTTGACTACTACCCCCCCCCTCCCCCCTGTTGACATTTTAACATGTTATAATTTTGTACTGTGTGAGTTAATGTTCTCTGATGCTTTTAACGCCACCTTAATTAACGTATGTAAACGTTCACAGGTACCCTTGTTAACATTGTAGCTCACTGTGAGAGACTCTCAGGTTGTAGGAAGCTCCCTGAGACACTCCCATGGTGCAGGAAGCTCCCTGAGACACTCCCATGGTGCAGGAAGCTCCCTGAGACACTCCCATGCTGCAGAAAGCTCCCTGAGACATTCCCATGATGCAGGAAGCTCCCTGAGACACTCCCATGTTGTAGGAAGCTCACTAATACACTCCCATGTTGCAGGAAGCTCCCTGAGACACTCCCATGATGCAGGAAGCTCCCTGAGACATTCCCATCTTGGAGGAAGCTCCCAGAGACACTCTCATGTAGCAGGAAGCTCCCTGAGACATTCCCATGATGCAGGAAGCTCCCTGAGACACTCCCATGTTGCAGGAAGCTCCCTGAGACACTCCCATGGTGCAGGAAGCTCCCTGAGACACTCCCATGGTGCAGGAAGCTCCCTGAGACACTCCCATGCTGCAGAAAGCTCCCTGAGACACTCCCATGGTGCAGGAAGCTCCCTGAGACACTCCCATGATGCAGGAAGCTCCCTGAGACACTCCCATGATGCAGGAAGCTCCCTGAGACACTCCCATGTTGTAGGAAGCTCACTAATACACTCCCATGTTGCAGGAAGCTCCCTGAGACACTCCCATGATGCAGGAAGCTCCCTGAGACACTCCCATGTTGTAGGAAGCTCTCTGAGACTCTCCCATGTTGTAGGAAGCTCCATGAGACACTCCCATGTTATAGGAAGCTTCGTGAGACACTCCCATGGTGCAGGAAGCTCCCTGAGACACTCCCATGTTGTAGGAAGTTCCCTGAGACACTCCCATGGTGCAGGAAGCTCTCTGAGACACTCCCATGTTGCTGGAAGCTCCCTGAGACACTCCCATGTTGCAAGAAGCTCACTAATACACTCCCATGTTCCAGGAAGCTGAGGTGCCCGAGGAATCTTCTTCATCTGCATCTCTTCGGCTCCTTCATGCTGAGAGCTCTCGTCGTCCTGATCAAGAACTCCTCCCACGTGGAGAGCGTCGAGGTGAGAAATATTAGTGTGTTACCCATTTGGGGTCTGAGACACACAGGTGTGTGGGGGGGGAAGGGTACATGCTCTCATTACACGTAGGAGAATGGGAGACATATGATGTGAGATATCTAGAGGGTGATGTAATTCCTGTGTCCTCTCATATACATATGGATGAGACACATGCTCTAGGAACATGGTTAGACGGAATACGAGAGGCTCTCCCATTGGGTAAAACAAGTGAGTGAGACACACACACACCAGGTGAGACACGCATTAAAAAAAATGCTATTGAAGAGGTAAATATGGCATGGAATAAAGTTGCTGATAGAGACTTAAATCGTGGATAAATTGATTGGGAAAAATTTGGAATCCTTAATTGTGGACCAAAAACATGGATGGAAATGTTCCTGGATTCGGCGGTGGGAAATTTCTCAACGTACAGTTCATAGTGGGGAAGGTTGCTTATTTTTTTTTTTTACAACTTAAAAAAAATAGATTTAATCTATTTGGAGACATGTATTAATAGGAAAAATAATAATGACAATGTATTCCAAGTGAGTCGAATGTATGAATGTATACAATTCGTATGAGTAAAATACTCTTGTAAACTTGTAAGCGACAGAAAATGTAATGTTATCTGTAAACTGTTACTTTATTAACACTGATGAAACATAAGTACATTAATAAATCTAATTTCCACAATAAAAATATACACTAATGACACACAATATACACACTAATAAAACACAATATACACTCTAATAAAACACAATATACACTCTAATAAAACACAATATACACACTAATAAAACACAATATACACACTAATAAAACACAATATACACTCTAATAAAACACAATATACACTAATAAAACACAATATACACACTAATAAAACACAATATACACACTAATAAAACACAATATACACACTAATAAAACACAGTATACACTCTAATAAAACACAATATACACTAATAAAACACAATATACACTCTAATAAAACACAATATACACTAATAAAACACAATATACACTCTAATAAAACACAATATACACTAATAAAACACAATATACACACTAATAAAACACAATATACACTAATAAAACACAATATACACTAATAAAACACAATATACACTCTAATAAAACACAATATACACACTAATAAAACACAATATACACTAATAAAACACAATATACACACTAATAAAACACAATATACACTCTAATAAAACACAATATACACACTAATAAAACACAATATACACACTAATAAAACACAATATACACTAATAAAACACAATATACACTCTAATAAAACACAATATACACTCTAATAAAACACAATATACACTAATAAAACACAATATACACTCTAATAAAACACAATATACACTCTAATAAAACACAATATACACTAATAAAACACAATATACACTCTAATAAAACACAATATACACTAATAAAACACAATATACACACTAATAAAACACAATATACACTAATAAAACACAATATACACACTAATAAAACACAATATACACTCTAATAAAACACAATATACACACTAATAAAACACAATATACACTAATAAAACACAATATACACACTAATAAAACACAATATACACTAATAAAACACAATATACACACTAATAAACACAATATACACTAATAAAACACAATATACACTCTAATAAAACACAATATACACTCTAATAAAACACAATATACACTAATAAAACACAATATACACTCTAATAAAACACAATATACACTCTAATAAAACACAATATACACTCTAATAAAACACAATATACACACTAATAAAACACAATATACACTAATAAAACACAATATACACACTAATAAAACACAATATACACTAATAAAACACAATATACACACTAATAAAACACAATATACACTAATAAAACACAATATACACTCTAATAAAACACAATATACACTCTAATAAAACACAATATACACTAATAAAACACAATATACACTCTAATAAAACACAATATACACTCTAATAAAACACAATATACACTCTAATAAAACACAATATACACACTAATAAAACACAATATACACACTAATAAAACACAATATACACTAATAAAACACAATATACACACTAATAAAACACAATATACACACTAATAAAACACAATATACACTAATAAAACACAATATACACACTAATAAAACACAATATACACTAATAAAACACAATATACACTCTAATAAAACACAATATACACTAATAAAACACAATATACACACTAATAAAACACAATATACACTCTAATAAAACACAATATACACACTAATAAAACACAATATACACTCTAATAAAACACAATATACACACTAATAAAACACAATATACACTCTAATAAAACACAATATACACACTAATAAAACACAATATACACTCTAATAAAACACAATATACACACTAAATAAAACACAATATACACTCTAATAAAACACAATATACACACTAATAAAACACAATATACACACTAATAAAACACAATATACACTAATAAAACACAATATACACACTAATAAAACACAATATACACACTAATAAAACACAATATACACACTAATAAAACACAATATACACTAATAAAACACAATATACACTAATAAAACACAATATACACTCTAATAAAACACAATATACACACTAATAAAACACAATATACACACTAATAAAACACAATATACACTAATAAAACACAATATACACACTAATAAAACACAATATACACACTAATAAAACACAATATACACACTAATAAAACACAATATACACACTAATAAAACACAATATACACTAATAAAACACAATATACACACTAATAAAACACAATATACACTAATAAAACACAATATACACACTAATAAAACACAATATACACACTAATAAAACACAATATACACACTAATAAAACACAATATACACACTAATAAAACACAATATATACACTAATAAAACACAATATACACACTAATAAAACACAATATACACACTAATAAAACACAATATACACTCTAATAAAACACAATATACACACTAAATAAAACACAATATACACTCTAATAAAACACAATATACACTCTAATAAAACACAATATACACACTAATAAAACACAATATACACACTAATAAAACACAATATATACACTAATAAAACACAATATACACACTAATAAAACACAATATACACACTAATAAAACACAATATACACTAATAAAAACACAATATACACACTAAATAAAACACAATATACACTCTAATAAAACACAATATACACTCTAATAAAACACAATATACACACTAATAAAACACAATATACACTAATAAAACACAATATACACTCTAATAAAACACAATATACACTAATAAAACACAATATACACTAATAAAACACAATATACACACTAATAAAACACAATATACACTAATAAAACACAATATACACTCTAATAAAACACAATATACACTAATAAAACACAATATACACTCTAATAAAACACAATATACACACTAAATAAAACACAATATACACTAATAAAACACAATATACACTCTAATAAAACACAATATACACACTAAATAAAACACAATATACACACTAAATAAAACACAATATACACTAATAAAACACAATATACACACTAATAAAACACAATATACACACTAAATAAAACACAATATACACTAATAAAACACAATATACACACTAAATAAAACACAATATACACTAATAAAACACAATATACACACTAAATAAAACACAATATACACTCTAATAAAACACAATATACACACTAATAAAAAATATACACAATATACACAATATACACACTAATAAAACACAATATACACACTAATAAAACACAATATACACACTAATAAAACACAATATACACACTAAAAAAAACACAATATACACTAATAAAACACAATATACACTACTAATAAAACACAATATACACTAATAAAACACAATATACACTAATAAAACACAATATACACACTAATAAAACACAATATACACTAATAAAACACAATATACACACTAATAAAACACAATATACACTCTAATAAAACACAATATACACTCTAATAAAACACAATATACACACTAATAAAACACAATATACACACTAAATAAAACACAATATACACTAATAAAACACAATATACACACTAATAAAACACAATATACACTAATAAAACACAATAACACTAAAAAACACAATATACACACTAAATAAAACACAATATACACAATATACACACTAAATAAAACACAATATACACACTAATAAAACACAATATACACTCTAATAAAACACAATATACACAATAAAACACAATATACAAACACAATATACACTAATAAAACACAATATACACACTAATAAAACACAATATACACTAATAAAACACAATATACACTAATAAAACACAATATACACTAATAAAACACAATATACTAATAAAACACAATATACACACTAATAAAACACAAGTACCACTCTAATAAAACACACACTAATAAAACACAATATACACAATATACACCTAATATAAAACACAATATACACTCTAATAAAACACAATATACACTCTAATAAAACACAATATACACAATAAAAACACAATATACACTCTAATAAAACACAATATACACTCTAATAAAACACAATATACACACTAATAAAAACACAATATACACACTAAATAAAAACACAATATACACTAATAAAACACAATATACACTCTAATAAAACACACATATACACTAATAAAAAACACAATATACACTCTAATAAAAACACAATATACACTACTAAAACACAATAAACACAATAAAACACAATATACACTAATAAAACACAATATACACACTATATAAAACACAATATACACACTAATAAAACACAATATACACACTAATAAAACACAATCTACACTAAAAAACACAATATACACACTAATAAAACACAATATACACACTAATAAAACACAATATACACTCTAATAAAACACAATATACACACTAATAAAACACAATATACACACTAATAAAACACAATATACACACTAAATAAAACACAATATACACTAATAAAACACAATATACACTCTAATAAAACACAATATACACACTAATAAAACACAATATACACTAATAAAACACAATATACACTAATAAAACACAATATACACTAATAAAACACAATATACACTCTAATAAAACACAATAATACACAATATACACTAATAAAACACAATATACACACTAAAAAACACAATATACACACTAATAAAACACAATATACACACTAATAAAACACAATATACACACTAATAAAACACAATATACACACTAATAAAACACAATATACACACTAATAAAACACAATATACACACTAATAAAACACAATATACACTCTAATAAAACACAATATACACACTAATAAAACACAATATACACACTAATAAAACACAATATACACTCTAATAAAACACAATATACACTCTAATAAAACACAATATACACACTAATAAAACACAATATACACACTAATAAAACACAATATACACACTAATAAAACACAATATACACACTAATAAAACACAATATACACACTAATAAAACACAATATACACACTAATAAAACACAATATACACACTAATAAAACACAATATACACACTAATAAAACACAATATACACACTAATAAAACACAATATACACACTAATAAAACACAATATACACACTAATAAAACACAATATACACACTAATAAAACACAATATACACACTAATATAAACACTAATATACACTAATAAAACACAATATACACTCTAATAAAACACAATATACACACTAATAAAACACAATATACACTCTAATAAAACACAATATACACACTAATAAAACACAATATACACACTAATAAAACACAATATACACACTAATAAAACACAATATACACTCTAATAAAACACAATATACACACTAATAAAACACAATATACACACTAATAAAACACAATATACACTAATAAAACACAATATACACTCTAATAAAACACAATATACACACTAATAAAACACAATATACACTCTAATAAAACACAATATACACACTAATAAAACACAATATACACTCTAATAAAACACAATATACACTAATAAAACACAATATACACACTAATAAAACACAATATACACACTAATAAAACACAATATACACACTAATAAAACACAATATACACACTAATAAAACACAATATACACACTAATAAAACACAATATACACACTAATAAAACACAATATACACTCTAATAAAACACACACTATACACACTAATAAAACACAATATACACACACACAATATACACATAAAACACAATATACACACTAATAAAACACAATATACACACTAATAAAACACAATATACACTCTAATAAAACACAATATACACTAAATAAAACACAATATACACACTAATAAAACACAATATACACACTAATAAAACACAATATACACACTAATAAAACACAATATACACACTAATAAAACACAATATACACACTAATAAAACACAATATACACACTAATAAAACACAATATACACACTAATAAAACACAATATACACTAATAAAACACAATATACACTAATAAAACACAATATACACTCTAATAAAACACAATATACACTCTAATAAAACACAATATACACACTAATAAAACACAATATACACTCTAATAAAACACAATATACACACTAATAAAACACAATATACACACTAATAAAACACAATATACACACTAATAAAACACAATATACACACTAATGACACACAATATACACACTAATAAAACACAATATACACTCTAATAAAACACAATATACACACTAATAAAACACAATATACACACTAATAAAACACAATATACACTCTAATAAAACACAATATACACACTAATAAAACACAATATACACACTAATAAAACACAATATACACACTAATAAAACACAATATACACACTAATAAAACACAATATACACACTAATAAAACACAATATACACTAATAAAACACAATATACACTCTAATAAAACACAATATACACTCTAATAAAACACAATATACACACTAATAAAACACAATATACACACTAATGACACACAGTATACACACTAATGACACACAATATACACACTAATAAAACATAAGAAATAAGTAAATTGAAAAAAAGCAAATGTCTTTCTTGCCTTTCCAAGCGAAAAGTCATTACCTAATATATAGATTATTATAAAACTGTAACAAATTAAACAAAAATCAGATATTTTGAATTTTGTTATATATACATAAATATACAATACCATACCCCCTCCCCCCCTCCCCCTTGGTGGTCAGTAGGGTAGTAAATCGCCCAAATTGCTGATGAGATCTGGACGGGGTTCGATGCTCTCTGACACCTCTCTTCCTTTCCTCACTACCGCTGCCCCCTGCCCCCCCCCCCCTCCCTCCTAATTTTCTTCCGGAACCTCCCACTCGCGAACCATAATTCCCCAGAGTGGTTTCCAAAGTGGGGGTTACAGGCGCACATGTTTGGGGGATAGTCAAGAATTACAGTCTTGTGGTGCGGACTGACCCCGATCCCTGACTGGTCAGGCTCGTGTTGGTGGGTGACCGGGCCCGCACTAGCGTGAGAATGATGCTCGGGGCCGGATGATGAAAGATAAGTGACGAGAGATGTCTCAGGGATGCTGGTGTTCTCCTCAGCATCCAATATCCGTCAATACTTCTCCTGCAGCCTCATTCATCAGCCATTGACCTACACACCCATCCTGCAAACACCTATCCTGCAACACCCATCCTGCAAACACCCAAATTGCAGGCATAACACCTCATTCAACTTGATTTACATTGCAACACTGAATCATAGTTTAAAGTTATCGTGGACGGACAAATCATCTGGGGTCTGGCTGTCAGATATAAGCCTTCCTCATCAGGCTTGATCCCCGCTCGTATAGCTGAGTAACATGGACCTCGTACTCCACCTGATTCCATTAATGGACTTGGATTGAGAAATTATAATGCTCACAATTTCTGTGAGATCATTTGTATTTATATTCGTCTAATTCACGCAAGATATCACACATATATAAACACAAGGGGACCCCTGATTTATTATACATATTAACTGGTGTGGTATCAAGAGAAAGATATGAGTAATTAAATGAGTTCAAGGTGAAACAAACATGAATTATGTATACAGATTAATCCGGTTGGTTGATAGACTGGTTTTCGGCGTTGGGAGGCAGGCTATGTATCCAGGGTGCCTGTGTAGCCTATGTATACAGGCTAGGGTGCTTATGTATACAGGTCAGAGCTGTAGAGAATAGAGGCCATATTTGTAGTTGTGGTGCTAAGGATTATTATCATATATCAGACATTTATGTAATTATATGATTGATAATAATTCAGTATATGAGACCAGCATCTGTAATTCCTCAGAGAGAGAGACAGAGAGAGACAGAGACAGAGAGACAGAGAGAGACAGAGACAGATAGAGACAGAGACAGAGACAGTGTGACTAAATCATCTGTCAACAAACTCTCCACACAGTATTCACACTCCCTGATGATAACACACAGCCATTAGCATACAGTAAGGAGTAACCTTGCGCAACGCATCCCCGGGCATCGGACCAAAAATGAAAGTGTGAAAATAAACCTCTGAGAGTTAATTTTTCAACTTCCCCCGACAGTGAACAAAAACATATGAAATATTGAAAAACATTCGTGTTAGAATCATTAATCTTACCCTTTCGGTCATATTCAAGAATGAATATATATATATATGGTAAAGCGTGTGTGAGATAGTGATACAGTCACCCATGTTTGGTTCTGTTGCATGCTGAATGATGCAGCCTGCAGCGGACCTCTGGCCTAAGGTAAGCTCCTTGCAAACGTTGCAACCTCCTACCCTTTTGTGTCCTCACTTGCCTGCCTTCCTGTCAGCCTGCCTTCCTGTCTGCCTGCCTACCTGTCTGCTCCTTCACGTGCCTGCCTTTGGGCCTGCCTGCCTGCCTGCCTGCCTCTGCTTTACTTCCCTCGTCTACCTTTCAGTTATTTCCTCATAGATGTGCTTGTGTCTAGTATCCTGGCTGTTGTGCCTGCTGGCTGGCTGTAGATTATGTTGTGCTAGTGCTGGGTATTATTAAATGTTAAATTATAATATTATATTGGTAGCAGTCTTTCTTGTAAACCTATGTTGTTGAATATAACCGAAAGGATAAGATTAATAATTCTAACACGAATATTCTCAATATTTCTTATGTTCTTCTTCACTGTCGAGAGTAATTGATAAATTAACTCTCCAAAATTCATTCTTTATTCTTGGTCTGACGCGTGAACGCGTTTCGTAATGCTTATTACATTTTCAAAGACTTACTTTACACATAAAATACATTCATACTTATACACGTTTTGGGTGAGGTGATATGGCACAAATGTTTTGGGTAAGGTGACAAAGCTATGACAGAACACGAACTAATGGGTATGAAAGTATAAGAATGGAAGTAACTGCAGCTACTTCCATTCTTATGTTCTCATACCCAATGTTTCGTGTTCTGTTATAGCTTTGTCACTTCACCCAAAACGTGTATAAGTATGAATGTATTTTATGTGTAAAGTAAGTCTTTGAAAAAGTAATAAGCATTACGAAACGCGTTCAGGCGTCAGACCAGGAATAAAGAATGAATTTTGGAGAGTTAATTTATCAATTACTCTCGACAGTGAAGAAGAATGTAAGAAATATTGAGAAGATTCGTGTTAGAATTATTAATCTTACCCTTTCGGTCATATTCAACAACACACACACACACACACACACACATATATATATATATATATATATATATATATATATATATATATATATATATATATATATATATATATATATATATATATCGTACCTAGTAGCCAGAACGCACTTCTCAGCCTACTATGCAAGGCCCGATTTGCCTAATAAGCCAAGTTTTCATGAATTAATTTTTTTTCGGCAACCTAACCTACCTAACCTAACCTAACCTAACTTTTTCAGCTACCTAACCTAACCTAACCTATAAAGATAGGTTAGGTTAGGTTAGGTAGGGTTGGTTAGGTTCGGTCATATAACTACGTTAATTTTAACTCCAATAAATTTTTTTTATCTCATACGTAATGAAATGGGTAGCTTTATCATTTCATAAGAAAAAAAATAGAGAAAATATAGTAATTCAGGAAAACTTGGCTTATTAGGCAAATCGGGCCTTGCATAGTTGGCCGAGAAGTGCGTTCTGGGTACTAGGTACGACATATATATATATATATATATATATATATATATATATATATATATATATATATATATATATATATATATATATATATATATAACTTTTTAACACTCAACCCACCAGGAGACTTGAACCCTGGCCCACAGTGTATGGTGCAGTGGATACAGTGTGTACCTGCCACTCTGTGGACCAGGGTTCGAGTCTCCTGGTGGGTTGAGTGTTAAAAAGTTATAAACTTCAGCTTGCGAGTTATAATAGGCAAGTCTGTGCACACACACACACATATATATATATATATATATATATATATATATATATATATATATATATATATATATATATATATATATATATATATATATATATATATATATATATATAGTATATTTTGGTAGCAGTCTTTCCTGTAGACATATTTTATTAAATATGACCGAAAAAGTAAGATTAATAATTCTAACACGAATTTTCTCAATCTTTCGTACATTATGCTTCACTGTTGGAGGTAAATCAAAAATCACTTCTCCAAAATTCATTTTTATTTCTAGTCTGACGCGACACGGGCGCGTTTCGTAAAACTTATTACATTTTCAAAGACTTCACAAATACACAACTGATTAGAACTTGCGTTTCCCTGATTTTATATCTACATTTGAGTGAGGTGGGAAGGGTGATGTGGCATTACATTTGAGTGAGGTGGGAAGGATGATGTGGCATTAGAGAATATTAATAGGGTATTAAAAGTATCAACACAAGACAGAACACGAAACAATGGATATTGAATAGAAGTGTTTGTAGAAAGCCTATTGGTCCATATTTCTTGATGCTTCTATATTGGAGCGGAGTCTTGAGGTGGGTAGAATATAGTTGTGCAATAATTGGCTGTTGATTGCTGGTGTTGACTTCTTGATGTGTAGTGCCTCGCAAACGTCAAGCCGCCTGCTATCGCTGTATCTATCGATGATTTCTGTGTTGTTTACTAGGATTTCTCTGGCGATGGTTTGGTTATGGGAAGAGATTATATGTTCCTTAATGGAGCCCTGTTGTTTATGCATCGTTAAACGCCTAGAAAGAGATGTTGTTGTCTTGCCTATATACTGGGTTTTTTGGAGCTTACAGTCCCCAAGTGGGCATTTGAAGGCATAGACGACGTTAGTCTCTTTTAAAGCGTTCTGTTTCGTGTCTGGAGAGTTTCTCATGAGTAGGCTGGCCGTTTTTCTGGTTTTATAGTAAATCGTCAGTTGTATCCTCTGATTTTTGTCTGTAGGGATAACGTTTCTATTAACAATATCTTTCAGGACCCTTTCCTCTGTTTTATGAGCTGTGGAAAAGAAGTTCCTGTAAAATAGTCTAATAGGGGGTATAGGTGTTGTGTTAGTTGTCTCTTCGGAGGTTGCATGGCTTTTCACTTTCCTTCTTATGATGTCTTCGATGAATGATGTCAGACATCTGCAGGAGCTGAAGGAGGCATTTGAGCAGAGTTCCGTGCTGCGTTTCACTTACGAGACGGAAAAGGATGGGAAGCTGCCTTTTCTAGATGTAACAGTCATGGAAAAGGGCGGAGGTTTCCACACTGCAGTCTACACAAAGGAAACAAACATAGGAATGTGCCTAAATGCCAACAGCGACTGCCCTGACAGGTACAAGAGGAGTGTTGTTAACGCATACGTCGACCGTGCTCTCAGCCACAGCTCAGAATGGAAGCAAGTCGACGAAGAACTCTGTAGGGTAAGGCAGGTTCTAGTCAATAACGGCTTCTCCAATGGTTTCATCGAAGACATCATAAGAAGGAAAGTGAAAAGCCATGCAACCTCCGAAGAGACAACTAACACAACACCTATACCCCCTATTAGACTATTTTACAGGAACTTCTTTTCCACAGCTCATAAAACAGAGGAAAGGGTCCTGAAAGATATTGTTAATAGAAACGTTATCCCTACAGACAAAAATCAGAGGATATAACTGACGATTTACTATAAAACCAGAAAAACGGCCAGCCTACTCATGAGAAACTCTCCAGACACGAAACAGAACGCTTTAAAAGAGACTAACGTCGTCTATGCCTTCAAATGCCCACTTGGGGACTGTAAGCTCCAAAAAACCCAGTATATAGGCAAGACAACAACATCTCTTTCTAGGCGTTTAACGATGCATAAACAACAGGGCTCCATTAAGGAACATATAATCTCTTCCCATAACCAAACCATCGCCAGAGAAATCCTAGTAAACAACACAGAAATCATCGATAGATACAGCGATAGCAGGCGGCTTGACGTTTGCGAGGCACTACACATCAAGAAGTCAACACCAGCAATCAACAGCCAATTATTGCACAACTATATTCTACCCACCTCAAGACTCCGCTCCAATATAGAAGCATCAAGAAATATGGACCAATAGGCTTTCTACAAACACTTCTATTCAATATCCATTGTTTCGTGTTCTGTCTTGTGTTGATACTTTTAATACCCTATTAATATTCTCTAATGCCACATCATCCTTCCCACCTCACTCAAATGTAATGCCACATCACCCTTCCCACCTCACTCAAATGTAGATATAAAATCAGGGAAACGCAAGTTCTAATCAGTTGTGTATTTGTGAAGTCTTTGAAAATGTAATAAGTTTTACGAAACGCGCCCGTGTCGCGTCAGACTAGAAATAAAAATGAATTTTGGAGAAGTGATTTTTGATTTACCTCCAACAGTGAAGCATAATGTACGAAAGATTGAGAAAATTCGTGTTAGAATTATTAATCTTACTTTTTCGGTCATATTTAATAAAATATATATATATATATATATATATATATATATATATATATATATATATATATATATATATATATATATATATATATATATATATATATATATATATATATGAATGAAAACTCCACTCCCCAGAGGTGACTCGAACCCAGACAGCCAGGAGCACAATGTAACTGGTGTACATAGTTCCTTAACCGCTCGACCATCAGTGACCGTACAAAAGACGATGGTAGATGAGGCTATTTCCCCACCACCCCGACGGCACTTTGATGGTAATCTTGGACATAGTTATTTCATCAAATTACCTCACTTTGTGGGGCCATATGAGCAACATAAATGCGAACAAGCTTGTATGGTCCCCAAGCATATATGCGAGTGAAAACTCCACACCCCAGAAGTGACTCGAACCCAGACCGCCAGGAGCACAATGCAACTGGTCTACATGGTATCTTAACCGCTCGACCATGAAAGACGATGGTAGCCGAGGCTACCATCGTCTTTTGTACGGTCACTGCTTGTAGCGGCTTGGCTGCATGTAGCGGCTTGGCTGCATGTAGCGGCTTGGCTGCATGTAGCGGCTTGGCTGCGTGTAGCGGCTTGGCTGCATGTAGCGGCTTGGCTGCATGTAGCGGCTTGGCTGTATGTAGCGGCTTGGCTGTATGTAGCGGCTTGGCTGCGTGTAGCGGCTTGGCTGCGTGTAGCGGCTTGGCTGCGTGTAGCGGCTTGGCTGCATGTAGCGGCTTGGCTGCGTGTAGCGGCTTGGCTGCATGTAGCGGCTTGGCTGCATGTAGCGGCTTGGCTGCATGTAGCGGCTTGGCTGCATGTACCGGCTTGACTGCATGTAGCGGCTTGGCTGCATGTAGCGGCTTGGCTGCATGTAGCGGCTTGGCTGCCTGTAGCGGCTTGGCTGCATGTAGCGGCTTGGCTGCATGTAGCGGCTTGGCTGCATGTAGCGGCTTGGCTGCATGTAGCGGCTTGGCTGCATGTAGCGGCTTGGCTGCATGTAGCGGCTTAGCTGCGTGTAGCGGCTTGGCTGCATGTAGCGGCTTGGCTGCATGTAGCGGCTTGGCTGCATGTAGCGGCTTGGCTGCGTGTAGCGGCTTGGCTGCGTGTAGCGGCTTGGCTGCGTGTAGCGGCTTGGCTGCGTGTAGCGGCTTGGCTGCGTGTAGCGGCTTGGCTGCGTGTAGCGGCTTGGCTGCATGTAGCGGCTTGGCTGCATGTAGCGGCTTGGCTGCATGTAGCGGCTTGGCTGCATGTAGCGGCTTGGCTGCATGTAGCGGATTGGCTGCATGTAGCGGCTTGGCTGCATGTAGCGGCTTGGCTGCATGTAGCGGCTTGGCTGCATGTAGCGGCTTGGCTGCATGTACCGGCTTTTACGGAGTCAGGTCAGGTGTCCTGGGGGCGAGGTGTAAGCATTATTAACATCCTTGTTACATAATCGCTCACCAAATATGGTAACCACTGTCCTGAGGAGACATTACAATTAAGATTATTGTTTATAAAAGTAGGTTCCATTATTTTTATTTTGAGGCCACAGTGTTGGGGATATATTATGCAATAATTATCACATATTTGTTTGGTGATTGGTGACATGTTTATAGAAAGCTGAGCTTTCTTGGCCATATCTGACAGACCTCTTGTGCTCACCTAGTTGTACCTGTGGGGGGTTGAGTTCTGGCTCTTTGGTCCCGCCTCTCGACTGTCAATCAACTGGTGTACAGATTCCTGAGCCTACTGGGCTCTATCATATCTACATTTGAAACTGTGAATGAAGTCAGCCTCCACCACACCACTGCCTAATGCATTCCATTTGTTAACTACTCTCACACTGATTTTTTTTTAATGTCTCTGAATTGGGTACTCAAGGTACAAGGGTATTCAGTTTCCACCTGTGTCCCGTTGTTTCTATTCCACCCGTGTTAAATAGTTCTTCATTGTCCACTCTGTCAATTCCTCTGAGAATTTTGTAGGTGCTGATCATGTCTCGCCTTATTGTTCTGTCTTCCAGGGACGGGAAGTTTAGCTCTCGTAGCCTTTCCTCGTAACTCATACCTCTCGGTTCTGGAACCAGTCTGGTGGCATACCTCTGAATCTTCTCTAACTTTGTCTTGTATTTAACTAATTTGTGTTTGGTGATACGGGCTTTTAGATCTCTGCTTGTTTACCCCAGGTTGCAATTCTTTTGACCATGTTTTGGCGTAGTTGACTTAAGCCTACTTCTGGGAACACCATGGGCATAGATTCGAACCCTTATCACGGCTTCTGTGCATTTTCTCATTGATGTATCATGATTATTTAATTTCTCTGTGTAACCACAGGGATGTTGTTACAAGACTGCCACTGTATCAGGGTAGAGACGAAGGGGAAGGTACTAGGGAGAGAAGTGGTGGAGGCAGATTCAATACACACATTCAAACAAAGATATGACAGCACCGAAATGATGCAATGTCAAGTGTTAACTGATGGTGTTGAAAGGTGGGGCCCATGAGGCGAGCTCAACCCCTGTAATCACAGCAAGTTGAGTAAACACACACACAGAAAGATACCAGAGTGCCAGGAATGAATATGTCAGGATGAGAAGAGAGGCAGAAAGACAATACGAAAATGACATCGCAAGCAAGACAAAGACTCAGCCTAAATTGTTGCATAGCCACATCAGGAGAAAAACAACAGTAAAGGATGAGGTTATGAAATTAAGGATAGGGGCAGAAGGATTCACTACAAATGACAAGGAAGTGTGTGAGGAACTGAATAAGAAATTCCAGGAGGTCTTCACCTTAAAATAAGAAGAAATTTCAGAGATAAGAGAGGGAATAGTTAATCAGGAACCACAGGAAGAGTTTGAGATTACCAGCGGGGAAGTAAGGAAGTGTTTACAAGAGTTGGATGTGACAAAGCCTATAGGCCCAGATGGAATGAATCTCCCCTTGGATATTAAAGGAAGGAGCAGAAGAACTCTGCCTACCACTCTCCATAGTGTATAACAAATCACTGGCAACAGGGGAACTGCCAAAAATTTGGAAAGCAGTTAACGTAGTCCCGATATACAAGAAAGGGGATAAACAGGAGGCACTGAACTACAGGCCAGTGTCCCTAACCTGCATACCATGCAAGCTGATGGAGAAGATTGTGCGAAGAAAGCTAGTGGAGCATCTGGAGCGAAGGAACTTTGTAACACAGCATCAACATGGATTCAGGGATGGCAGGTCCTGCTTCACAGGGTTACTTGAATTCTACGACCAGGCAACAAAAATCAGGCAAGAAAGAAAAGGGGGGGCAGACTGCATATTTTTGGATTGCCAGAAAGCCTTTGATACAGTACCACACAAGAGGCTAGTGAAAAAGCTGGAGATGCAGGCTGGAGTGAAAGGGAAGGTACTCCATTAGATAAAGGAGTACCTAAGCAACAGGAGACAACGAGTCAATGTGAGGGGTGAGGTCTCAGATTGGCGAGACGTTACAAGTGGAGTCCCGCAGGGGTCAGTCCTTGGACCTATACTGTTTCTGGTATATGTAAATGATCTCCCAGAGGGTATAGATTCGTTTCTCTCAATGTTTGCTGACGATGCAAAAATTATGAGGAGGATTGAAACAGAGGATGATAGTAGGAGGCTACAAGATGACCTAGATAGACTGAGTGAATGGTCCAACAAATGGCTGTTGAAGTTCAACCCGAGTAAATGCAAAGTAATGAAACTAGGCAGTGGAAACAGGAGGCCAGGCACAGGATACAGAATAGGAGATGAAGTACTTAATGAAACTGACAGAGAGAAAGATCTGGGAGTTGATATCACACCAAACCTGTCTCCTGAAGCCCACATAAAGAGAATAACGTCTGCGGCATATGCGAGGCTGGCTAACATCAGAACAGCCTTCAGGAACCTGTGTAAGGAATCATTCAGAATCTTGTATACCACATATGTAAGACCAATCCTGGAGTATGCGGCCCCAGCATGGAGCCCGTACCTTGTCAAGTATAAGACGAAGCTGGAAAAAGTTCAAAGGTATGCTACTAGACTAGTCCCAGAACTAAGAGGCATGAGTTACGAGGAAAGGCTGCGGGAAATGCACCTTACGACACTGGAAGACAGAAGAGTAAGGGGAGACATGATCACTACCTACAAAATCTTCAGAGGAATCGACCGGGTAGACAAGGATAAACTATTCAACACTAGTTGTACGCGAACAAGGGGACACAGGTGGAAACTTAGTACCCAAATGAGCCACAGGGTCGTTAGAAAGAACTTTTTCAGTATCAGAGTAGTTAACAGGTGGAATGCATTAGGCAGTGATGTGGTGGAGGCTGACTCCATACACAGTTTCAAATGTAGATATGATAGAGCCCAGTAGGCTCAGGAATCTGTACACCAGTTGATTGACAATTGAGAGGCGGGACCAAAGAGCCAAAGCTCAACCCCCGCAAACACAACTAGGTGAGTATACACACCCCACCCCCCACACACACACCCTACGAGATAAGAAAGTGTATCACACCTGTGTAACTACACAACTGCACACACACCCACACACACACACACACACACACACACACACACACACACACACACACACACACACACACACACACACACACACACACACACACACACACACACACACACACACACACACACCACCATTAATCATAACTAACCAACAGTTGTCTCTCCCTCTCCAGCACACGTGGACCTGTAAGCTGATGATCAGTGTGTGGCAGTACTTCATCGTGGCCAACTACTCGTGGCTGCTCATGGAAGGACTCTACCTACACAGCCTCATCTTCATGGCGCTCTTCACCGACTCCTCCGCCATCACCTGCTACATCCTCCTCGGCTGGGGTGACTGAGCCTGATTTGTTTACCGTTTTTGAGTGGATCCGCTTCCCCCTCTCTCTCTCTCTCTGTTCTTCGTGTTCTATTCCCTGCCCCCCTTTGTTCCTCTTTCGTGTGTGTGTGTTTGGGTGGTGTGTCTTCGTGGTTTGTGTTGTGTCTTGGACTTCGCTGCTTTCATTCTTTTTTCGTCCTCTTCACTGCTTTCATTCTTTTTCATCCTCTTCAGTGCTTTCATTCTAATTCATCCTCTTTATTGTCTTCATTGTAATTCATTCTCTGCATTGCATTCATTACCATTCACCCTCATCATTGCATTCATTACCTTTCACCCTCTTCATTGCATTCATTACCTTTCACCCTCTTCATTGCATTCATTACCATTCATCCCCTTCACTGACTTCAGTACCATTCACGCTCGTCACTGCTTTCACTAGCACTCATCCCCCCTTACGGACCTCATTACCCATGTAGTGGGTCCGGAAGCCTCGGACCCCTGGAGGGTTGAGTTGAAATACTTAGTTGATCTAACCTAACTCACTCTAACCTAACCCAACCTACCTTCAGGTTACCTTGAGGTGCTTCCGGGGCTTAGCGTCCCCGCGGCCCGGTCGTCGACCAGGCCTCCTGGTTGCCGGACTGATCAACCAGGCTGTTGGACGCGGCTGCTCGCAGCCTGACGTACGAGTCACAGCCTGGTTGATCAGGTATCCTTTGGAGGTGCTTATCCAGTTCTCTCTTGAACACTGTGAGGGGTCGGCCAGTTATGCCCCTTATGTGTAGTGGAAGCGTGTTGAACAGTCTCGGACCTCTGATGTTGATAGAGTTCTCTCTCAGAGTACCAGTTGCACCTCTGTTTTTCAACGGGGGTATTCTGCACATCCTGCCATGTCTTCTGGTCTCATGTGATGTTATTTCTGTGTGCAGGTTTGGGACCAGCCCTTCTAATATTTTCCACGTGTAAATTATTATGTACCTCTCCCGCCTGCGTTCAAGGGAGTACAGTTTTAGGCTCTTTAGTTGGTCCCAATAGTTTAGATGTTTTACTGAGTGGATTCTAGCAGTAAAGGATCTCTGCACGCTCTCCAGGTCAGTAATTTCTCCAGCTTTGAAACGGGCTGTCATTGTGCAGCAGTACTTCACTCTAGGAAGCACAAGCGTTTTGAAAAGTATCATCATCGGTATAGCATCTCTAGTGTGAAAAGTTCTTGTTATCCAACCTGTCATTTTTCTTGCAGTTGTGACGGCTACTTTATTGTGTTCTTTAAAGGTAAGGTCTTCCGACATGAGTACACCCAGATCCTTTACATTGCCTTTCCGTTCTATGTTATGATTTGCCTGAGTTTTGTACGTGGTTTCCGTTTTTATATTTTCGTTTTTTCCATAGCGCATGAGCTGGAACTTATCTTCGTTAAACACCATATTATTTTCTGTAGCCCATAGAAAGACCTGATCTACATCTGACTGGAGGTTTGCCGTGTCCTCTATGTTACCTACTCTCATGAAGATCCTAGTGTCATCTGCAAAGGATGATACAGTGCTATAGATTGTGTTCTTGTCTATGTCCGATATGAGGATGAGAAAACCCTAACCTAACCAAAAAACAACCTAAGTGAACCTAACCTAACCTAATATACTCAACGTAACTTAACTCAACCTAACTTAATGTAACTTAACCTTACCCAGCTCAACACAACCTAACCTAAAAAACTCAACCTAATCTAACTCAATTAAACCTAATGTAACCTAACTCACCCTAACCTAACCTAACTCAACCTAGCATAGTCTTACATAACCTAGTCTAACTCAACCTAATCTAACTCAACCTATTCTAACTCAACCTAATCTAACTCAACCTAATCTAACCTAGCTTAACCTAACATAACTCTTTCTAACCAAACCTAACCTAACACAACCTAACCTATTTCAACCTAACATGAACTTGACCAAACATAACCTAACTTAATTCAACCTCCTACCTCAGCCTAACCTAAAATAATGTAACTCAATTTAACCTAACTCGTCCTCATGTAACCTAACTTAACTCATTCTAACCGAACCTAACATAACTTAACCTAACTTACTCAACCTAGCCTAACCTAACTAATCTCAATCTAACTTATCAAACCTAACCTAACCTAACTCAACCAAACCTAATCCAACATTACCAAACTCAACCTAACTTAACCTAACCAAGCTCAGCCTACCGTAAAAACTCAATTTAACCTAATGTAACTTATCATTCAAAATCAATACTAAAATGTACCTAATTTCATCTTCATAGTTTTTCACTTTTTGCCTTAAAATTGCACTGTATCTATTGCTACCCAATCTCCCAACCTTTATGTTCCCAATTTGAACATCTTTACCATTGAGATCATTGCTGTTTTCTTATATGTGCTGCCAATCTGTTGTATGGTGTTTATAAATCTCGTTATCTGCATCTTTTGCTACCCAGTCTCCCAATCTTTATGTACCCAATCTGAACATCTTTACCATTGTGATCATTGCTGTCTTATATGTGCTGTCAATCTGCTGTATGGTGTCTATTAATCTTGTTTAAATTACTAATCAAGCTGTCAATGTAATCAATCAGAGCTTTAATATAACAATGTGCTTTAATATACTTACTTATCTCTCTCATCTCATTTTTTTCTTGTAATGTATCTTTCATTTATCAATTCTGATTGAAATTACCTACTTAAAATTATCTGCTAGATTAAGGACCTGCCCGAAACGCTGCGCGTACTAGTGGCTTTACAAGAATGTAAATACTGTACTATCCAATGTATTCTCTCAAACCCAATGTACCTTCTTGTATATATATAAATAAAATAAATAAAAATAAATCCTAACTCAACCTGGGTTATAAGGACAAATAGCTGTGGTATGAGGGACAAGAAGCTGGGATATTAGGCCAAGGAGCTGGGATATTAGGCCAAGGAGCTGGGATATTAGGCCAAGGAGCTGGAATATGACATTAAGGAACTGGATTATAAGGACAAGGAGCTGGGATACGAGGACAAGGAGCTGGGATATTAGGCCAAGGAGCTGGGATATTAGGCCAAGGAGCTGGAATATGACATTAAGGAACTGGATTATAAGGACAAGGAGCTGGGATACGAGGACAAGGAGCTGGGATATTAGGCCAAGGAGCTGGGATATTAGGCCAAGGAGCTGGGATATGAGGACAAGGAGCTGAAATATGAGGACAAGGAGCTGGGATACGAGGACAAGGAGCTGGGATATAAGGACAAGGAGCTGGGATATAAGGACAAGGATCTGGGATACGAGGACAAGGAGCAAAGAGAGAGGACGGAGGGTTCAAACGATGTTAGCAGTAAGGTAACTAATCCAACCATTAACCTGTATCTTTATGAAATGCAATGTTTGACTCCGTAGTACAGAGTGGATATAAATTCACTTGAACGCTTTCAGGAATGATAAAGTTAACCGCAGGAACTAGAAATCTGCCTCATGAAAGGGGATTAAATAAAAGCTTTATTTGAAATTCTCTATAAAGACGAACACGAAAGACTGACATAACTGAGATATTTAAATGGATAAAATGGTGTAAAAAAAAAGGGGGGAATATGAAAAAGACTATACAACCTATAGTCTTTTTCTATAAAAGACTATATAAAAGACTCCTAAAGGGTATATTTGTTGTTAAAGATTCGCTACTTGGAACAAAAAGTTTAAGTAGCACGGGCTATGGTGAGCCCGTACTCAGGGTATGTTTACAACACAAAACAGAATAGAAGCTGCCTCATAAGGCTCAATATATACTCTCTGCCGTGTCATATATTCCGTTCTATGGTGAAGTAAGAACATGTTGAGCGACACATTATATATATATATATATATATATATATATATATATATATATATATATATATATATATATATATATATATATATATATATATATATTATATATTTATATATATATATATATTATATATATATATATATATATATATATATATATAATATATATATATATAACTGAAAACTCACACCCAGAAGTGACTCGAACCCATACTCCCAGGAGCAACGCAACTGGTATGTACAAGACGCCTTAATCCACTTGACCATCACGACCGGACAAAATGAGGTGATAGCCGAGGCTATTTGAACCACCCCACCGCCGGCACTCGGATAGTAATCTTGGGCATAGCATTTTACCAAATCACCTCATTCTTTGGGGCACACGTGAGGAACACAAATGCGAACAAGCCTGAATGGTCCCCAGGACAATATGCAACTGAAAACTCACACCCCAGAAGTGACTCGAACCCATACTCCCAGGAGCAACGCAACTGGTATGTACAAGACGCCTTAATCCACTGACCATCAAATAGGGTGGTTCAAATAGCCTCGGCTATCACCTCATTTTGTCCGGTCGTGATGGTCAAGTGGATTAAGGCGTCTTGTACATACCAGTTGCGTTGCTCCTGGGAGTATGGGTTCGAGTCACTTCTGGGGTGTGAGTTTTCAGTTGCATATTGTCCTGGGGACCATTCAGGCTTGTTCGCATATATATATATATATATATATATATATATATATATATATATATATATATATATATATATATATATATATATATATATATGTGTGTGTGTGTGTGTGTGTGTGTGTGTGTGTACCTGCCTGTTCTCATTCCGGGGCTATTCATGCCCGTGCCACTTCCTGGATGGCCTAATCAATCAAAGAATCTCCCCTCAGGTCTGCCGCTGGGGTGCGTGGGCGTGTGGGCCACCCTGAGAGCCACCCTCGACGACACTGACTGTTGGACCGTTCAGAACGTCCAGTGGATCTTCTGGGTGTGCATCAGGGCCCCGGTGGCCGTCTCTAATCTCATCAACTTCTTCTTCTTCCTCAATGTGGTTCGTGTCTTGATTCTCAAGCTGAGGTCATCCATATCCACCGAGTCTATGAAGTACAGGTGAGGCTCGCGTGCAGGCAGGGAGGGTGGGGGGTGGGGCTTGGGGCTGCAGGGAGGGTGGGGCTTCAGGGAGGGTGGGGCTTCAGGGAGGGTGGGGCTGGGCTGCAGGGAGGGTGGGGCTTCAGGGAGGGTGGGGCTTCAGGGAGGGTGGGGCTTCAGGGAGGGTGGGGCTTCAGGGGGGTGGGGCTGCAGGGAGGGGGGCTGGGGCTGGGGCTTCAGGGAGGGTGGGGCTTCAGGGAGGGTGGGGCTTCAGGGAGGGTGGGGCTTCAGGGAGGGTGGGGGGGCTTCAGGGAGGGTGGGGCTTCAGGGAGGGGGGCTTCAGGGAGGGTGGGGCTTCAGGGAGGGTGGGGCTTCAGGGAGGGTGGGGCTCAGGGAGGTTCAGGGAGGGTGGGGCTTCAGGGAGGGTGGGGCTTCAGGGAGGTGGGCTTCAGGGAGGGGCTGCAGGGAGGGTGGGGCTTCAGGGAGGGTGGGGCTGCAGGGAGGGTGGGGCTTCAGGGAGGGTGGGGCTTCAGGGAGGGTGGGGCTTCAGGGAGGGTGGGGCTGCAGGGGTGGGGCTTCAGAGGTGGGGCTTCAGGGAGGGTGGGGCTTCAGGGAGGGTGGGGCTTCAGGGAGGGTGGGGCTTCAGGGAGGGTGGGGCTTCAGGGAGGGTGGGGCTTCAGGGAGGGTGGGGCTTCAGGGAGGGTGGGGCTTCAGGGAGGGTGGGGCTTCAGGGAGGTGGGGCTTCAGGGAGGGTGGGGCTTCAGGGAGGGTGGGGCTTCAGGGAGGGTGGGGCTTCAGGGAGGGTGGGGCTTCAGGGAGGGTGGGGCTTCAGGGAGGGTGGGGCTTCAGGGAGGTGGGGCATCAGGGAGGGTGGGGCTTCAGGGAGGGTGGGGCTTCAGGGAGGGTGGGCTTCAGGGAGGTGGGGCTTCAGGGAGGGTGGGGCTTCAGGGAGGGTGGGGCTTCAGGGATGTGGGGCTTCAGGGAGGGTGGGGCTTCAGGGAGGATGGGGCTTCAGGGAGGGTGGGGCTTCAGGGAAGTGGGGCTTCAGGGAGGGTGGGGCTTCAGGGAGGTGGGGCTTCAGGGAGGGTGGGGCTTCAGGGCTTCAGGGAGGGTGGGGCTGCAGGGAGGGTGGGGCTTCAGGGAGGGTGGGGCTTCAGGGAGGTGGGGCATCAGGGAGGGTGGGGCTTCAGGGAGGGTGGGGCTTCAGGGAGGGTGGGGCTTCAGGGAGGGTGGGGCATCAGGGAGGGTGGGGCTTCAGGGAGGGTGGGGCTTCAGGGAGGGTGGGGCTTCAGGGAGGTGGGGCTTCAGGGAGGGTGGGGCTTCAGGGAGTGTGGGGCATCAGGGAGGGTGGGGCTTCAGGGAGGGTGGGGCTTCAGGGAGGGTGGGGCTTCAGGGAGGTGGGGCTTCAGGGAGGTGGGGCTTCAGGGAGGGTGGGGCTTCAGGGAGGTGGGGCTGCAGGGAGGGTGGGGCTTCAGGGAGGTGGGGCTTCAGGGAGGGTGGGGCTTCAGGGAGGGTGGGGCTTCAGGGAGGGTGGGGCTGCAGGGAGGGTGGGGCTTCAGGGAGGGTGGGGCTTCAGGGAGGGTGGGGCTTCAGGGAGGGTGGGGCTGCAGGGAGGGTGGGGCTTCAGGGAGGGTGGGGCTTCAGGGAGGTGGGGCTTCAGGGAGATGAGGCTTCAGGGAGGTGGGGCTTCAGGGAGGTGGGGGCTTCAGGGAGGGTGGGCTTCAGGGAGGGTGGGGCTTCAGGGAGGTGGGGCTTCAGGGAGATGAGGCTTCAGGGAGGTGGGGCTTCAGGGAGGTGGGGGCTTCAGGGAGATGAGGCTTCAGGGAGGTGGGGCTTCAGGGAGGTGGGGGCTTCAGGGAGGTGGGGGCTTCAGGGAGATGAGGCTTCAGGGAGGTGGGGCTTCTGCTGGCACGCACTTGATGCCTATGTTAAATGTCTATACAACTTTGGCCACAGAATGATGTATTATGTATGTATATATGTGTGTGTATGTGTATTTGTGCACTAACATTGTAGTGTCCCCTCCTTGTTTCATTATAATTCAATTCAAATTATCAACGAAATAATAAATATTGTGTCCAAATCTTATAATTCCAACTTACTCTTCAGGATAACAGCATTTTCATTAATTGATCATTGGTGGCATAATTACAGCCCAATTGCCCAGACGCTTAATTGGAAATGATAAACTCTCTTGTGGCATAACTGTCACGAAATGCCAAAGGGGTATAAATGCCAGCATTTACCCTCGGGGGGGGGAGGGGAGAGGGGGCACAAATGCTGCCAACGTACCCCAGGTGTTTAGACAGGAAGATCATGGCACCATCTTACCCACCATCTTGTGCATTACTTCACAGGAAGCTGGGCAAGTCAACACTGGTTTTAGTGCCACTGTTTGGAGTCCATTACTTTGTACTGTGGGGTCTGTCTACCTCCACTAACGCCTATGTAGAGTTGGCTTGGCTCTTCCTCGACCAGGTGTTCGCCTCCTTCCAGGTCAGTTCTTAGTCAGTTGTTTCAGTCTATGTTTTACCGATGTCTAGAAAGGTATTCATATAGGAAGTCGATCTATCTGATGTTAATGAGATACTCCTTTGTGTTAAAACAAAGGCAAGTGCTCTTGCTGAGATACCAACTCTAATTTATAAAAATGCTTCTAGATTTGTAGCTCCAGCCATTGCATTGCTCTACAACAAATCACTTGAACTCAAAACCTTTTTGGATATTCTAAACAAAAAGCGAAAGTAACCCTAGTCCATAAATGTGATGTCAACAATTTCAGACCTATATCAATTCTGCCAACCTTGTCAGAAATATTTGAAGAGCTAATCTACAAGCAGTTTTACTCCTATCTAGCCAAACACAATATACTTAGCTCTTGCCAATATGGCTTCAGACTCCCCTTCCTCCAAAAAAGACCAGTGATGCCCTGATTAGTATAATTAACTTAATTCATGCAGCTCTTGATAAAAATTAGTTCCCTGTTGGGTTATTTCTTGACCTACGTAAGGTTTTTGACACTATTGACCATCACAACCTTCTTGCTATTCTTGCCTTCAACCTATGTCTTGCTATTTCCAAAAAGTATTGATTATTGAACAACTGGATTAACCGCTGATATATATGCCATATATACACTTAAAGAAAATTTTAGTCTTCTGTTTACTTAGTTAAAATTCCTTCTGCTGTTGTGTTTAAATTTCTGCTGTTCCATCCATCAAGTAATTATTATCATTCACTTTTTCCTTTATCAATTTAATTCTTTTTATCTCAATTAGCATTAAATTTTAGTCTTAAGTGTTTTTTCCCACACCTTGCCCAAAACGCTGTACCTATTAGTGGCTTCAGGCATAGTATGTACTAGCTCTGTCTAGAAATCCACCATTCTGTTTGTAATTCATCTTGTATATATGTACTTTTACCTGAATAAACATTTTATTTTATTTTATTTTTTATTTTATGTCTTGTCACTCTGTAAGACCTAGAACATCAAAGACATTCCTATTCCCTTCTCTGTTCTCTCAAACACCCATAAACTTACTCTTTCCGTCACAGACCTTCAACTTTATTTCCTTGCACACTATGACCCTCATTCTCGATCTTTTGCACCTCCTCCTGACTCAGGAACGAACACGACGCATGCGCGGGAAAAAATGCGCGGGGAAAACATGCGCGGGGAAAACAAACATAAATGACACACGTTAAACATGTGTCATTTAACACTGAGATGATATAACTATTAAGTTCAACCATGCGTGTCTATATCCACGAAGGTTGGCTCAGTGATGCTATGGCCTACGCGCAGTGGAGGTTCTAAATTGTGTTGATCACTGAGCTTCGTTCTTCCAGGGTTTCTTCGTGGCAGTGCTGTACTGCCTGATGAACGGCGAGGTGCGCCAGGAGCTGCGGAAGCTGTACAACCGGTGGTTCAACGGCGACCTACTCATCTTGAACTCCCACTCGACCCTCGTCTCACAGACGAAGACCTACGCCAGGTACGACATGCATTGAGGGAACGATAAGAAGGGGGAGGAGAAGGCGCTTTATACGTTATTTCATTTTCATTGCAAGTACGCGCATTTTCCCAGTCAATGTATGTGCTGTGGGCCATGTATTTGGCTGCCTCTTTTGTTATTTAGTTATTCCCAGGTTGTATTGCTTTTGAGCATGTCGACAGTGGTCTAAGGTGTTTGCTTCGGGGTACTAAGTGATCGGGTTCGAATCCTTCTCACGCCTACTACAGATTGTCTCATATTTTACACTGTTAAAGTATGAAGGCTTGAACAATAGATCCTGAAACAATAATGAATTATAATGCTGGCTTAGAGCATGGTTCCACTAATGAATGAGAGCTCAGCATATATTTGTAAGGTCTCAGACTAGACTTAGTAAGTGGTGTCCTCAGTAACTTCAGCTGGGGAAACAATTAATTTTAATAAGTTTTAATAAAAAATAATCTATTTTAATGTTTTAATAAAAAATATTAAATTTTATTGTTTTAATTAAAAAATAACCAATTTTAATCAATCTATTTTGATGACATGTTGGATTCTTCATCAGGATTAAGATGTGAAGGGACAATATCCTACCAAAACTTCATAAGGATATACTTTTATAAGATGTAGATCCCAAGAAGGGACTGATTCTAGGTGTTATCTAATTTATTTATTTATTTGTGAAAGACCAATTTCTTCCAAAATTTTAATTTGAGTGACCCGGTGGTTCTTTTACCATCTAGAATGTTTGATTCCTGGGTTCTAATCTTGATATATCTCTTATAGACAGTGGTGAGATGTTGCTTAGCACATCTTAGTTCAAGTCTGGGTCTTGGGTCCATATCTTCCTACCTGTTGATGGTTCTGGGAACTAATGTCGCGCGGTCTGGTTCCTGGCTAGGCTTCCTGGTTAGTGGTCTGGTCAACTAGGCTGTTAGAAGCTGCTGTTAGAAGCTGCTGTTCGCAGCCTGAGCTGTGAATCACAGACCAAGAGAGGTCGGCTAGTTATGCCAGAACGCTGATAGAGTTCTCCTTCAGCGTACCTACAGCACTTCTGCTTTTCAGTGGGGGCTATTTTTGCACCTTCTGTCATGCTTCCTGATTTCATATTTTCGTGTGAAAATTTGGAACCAATCCCTTCTAATATTTTCCAAATGTTTACTATTATGTATCTCTCTCTCTCCTGTGCTCTAGAGATAAAGGCTTAGAAATGTTAAAAGTTCCCAATAAACTGTTTTATTGAATTTATTCGGGCAGTAAGAGATCCGGACCAGAGCTAAGATGTGAACGCAAAACACCATCTTAGCTCTGGTGCGGGCCTGGTGTTCACATACTGAAATCGGTAAGAAACCTGGGTATCAATCCTTCTGTTGAACAAGGCACGTTTCACACATTGACCGAGTTTGAGCCTCATTGTCACCAAAAAATATATATTCTGTGTTTCACGCCATTGAGAACTTCAGTATGATTACTGTATTGTATTGTACAACTTTAGAGCACATATCTTCTCTCTGGATACATTACCAAGCTGTTCACTAATATCTGTTTAGAGGTAGTTTCCAGTACTTATAACAATACACTAACACTTAACATTAGCTGTTAACCCCAGGCGTCAAATCTACACTGCAAGTCGCAAATTACTGACCAATTTAATTAATCATTAAGCATTTTGTTAACCAGATGTAGTACTGTATAACTTAGCAGTTATTTACCTTTTGTTAATCAAATGTAGCTTAACTTAGCAGTTATTGCCAATGAGTTAAGCAGAACCCCTGACAGTATATAAATATATATATATATATATATATATATATATATATATATATATATATATATATATATATATATATATATATATATATATATATATATATATATATATATATATATATATATATATATATATATATATATATATATATTTATTTATTTATTTATTTTGCTTACATACTTTTACTGTAAATAAATTATACTATTCATTGCAACCATATTTATTTTGTGGAAAAAATTAATATAGATTTACAGAACATGTAAGCTACATGCTGATACTCACAGACTGTAGAAAACCTTGGCACTTATACTAAAAAAACAAACATTTCAGCAAAAGTACCTTTTAACCCTTAGACTGCGCTGTTAAATTTCCCGACCACTGTTTTGCGCTCACTGTGGGGGGCTCACCTTATCTCTGGCGAGAAGATACATAGTAGACATGCCAACAAATTAATATATATATAAATATATAGTGTAGAGATAGTATGCTTAATCGCCTAACTCACTTCAAGTCTCCCCTACGCTTGCTGGTTAGCCGTGGTCGGACTTCGCTCTCCATACACTCCCAAGGGGAGCGGCGTGACCGTCAGACACCCTCTCCACAGATGGCCAGACCTGGTGGTGGGGATGGTCCTGGTTCGAGGCCCCGCACCCCCTCTCCCTCCCCAACCCCCACTCTCACCCCATCTTTCGTCTCCAGGCAGCACTCACGGGTAAGTTTTCAACACGTTTTTGGTTTATCATTTGATTTATGTTAGTCTACCCCTAATATGGCGTCATGTTCGTTTGATTTGTAATAATTGTTTAAAAGTATTTCGCGTGATTTTACTGTAAGGAAATCAGTATGTAAATAATAATAATGAAAATGTTTTAATGAATATTTAAAGGCTACTGAATGAATATTTAATATTGATTTGATTTATTTAACTATTTATCTTGAAGGCAAGATCAATCTTACATTCTATATCATTTTAATCGTGATTATCTATATCAGCGAAGGCGGTGAAGAGTGAATGTCGTCCCGTTATGTTGAATGTGATAACTTCCCCCCCCCCCCTTTTTCAGGAGGGGCTGAGAACCTCCCCCTCCCCTCTCAGCGTGTATATATGCACTGGTACCACCAAACACCTCTACACCCACGAGTTGCTATCTATCTTTGTTGATAAAATAACATTCATATGTACAAATAAAATTACAGGTATCAGAACAAACACAGAGAACAGAACAACAAGAAACTTGTATATGCACCAAGCACGCCCCTAACATAGCACTGGGTAAACAGAAATAACAAAACACAACAGAACATTTAAACAAATAAAAACAGAAGTATATAAAACAAAATATTGCAATCACACTCTCTCACACACACACACACACACACACACACACACACACACACACACACACACACACACACACACACACACACACACACACACACACACCTTGTGTGGTGTGTGTGTGTGTGTGGTAGGGACCTGGTAGCCTGGTGGATAGCGTGCAGGATTCGTAATTCTGTGGCGTGGGTTCGATTCCCGCACCAGGCAGAAAGAAATGGGCAAAGTTTCTTTCACCCTGAATGTCCCTGTTACCTAGCAGTAAATAGGTACCTGGGAGTTAGTCAGCTGTCACGGGCTGCTTCCTGGAGTGTGTATGTGTGTAGTGTGGAGAAAAAAAAAGTAGTTAGTAAACAGTTGATTGACAGTTGAGAGGCGAGCCGAAAGAGCAAAGCTCAACTCCCGCAGACACAACTAGGTGAATACACACACACACACACACACACACAGTTGTGGTCAGACAGCCGTGGCGGGAAGACGTGGGGTCTGGGACGCTCTCTTGGGAAGTTAGTGAATTTGGGAGGGATAATCAAGTTACATTGAAGTAAAAAAGTGTATATGAGTGATTGAATAGCTAGTAAGCTGGCTCAAACCATAAGAAAGTGAAGAAAGAAAGTAGATATAGCACCATTGGCAATAAGTGTTGAACACAATATGGGATAGTGGAGCCGACCTAGCGTGGACGTGACCTCACCAGCTGGGACCGACGGGGATCTCACACTTAACGCACCGCGTGGAGTACTTTCCACAACAAGAAACTTTCTCTGATTCGCCTATTTGGGTAGCAGATCGGGCAAGGTAATTTGGAGTGCCTGTTTTGGCTAGGTGTTTACTGCAATAACATGGTCAGGAAGGACTTCAAGATCAATCACCACAGGGAGGAGGAGGAGGAGGACAGATTTATAGACAAATTAATAGGTAAATTTGTAGAGAGAAGGGACGATTGGATGGAGGATCTAATCCAAGGTATTAAAAGCGAGTTATTTCAGCAAATACAGGATGCGGTTCAGAGACAGAAACAAGAACTTATGCTCTATATTCAGGAAGAGATTAGGAAGGGCAGAAAAAACTGGGAGACGGAATGTGTTCGGATCACAAATGAATTAGAAAGGATTAACAGCATGGCTAAGGACAGGGGATTAGTGGGGGATGGATTAGTGAGTGGCTGGAATGGGGGATATCCAGGGAAGGGGTTACCAGCATGAGAGTGACTCACTGAGAAGGAGGAGCATTATAATACAAGGATTATTCGAATCTGGGGCAAAAAACAAGACTAGAAAGGATAGAGATAGAAAAATATGAATTGCATGAGATATTGAGATGTATTAGGGCCGAGATGGCAGGAAACGAGTTGGAACACAGCCGCCGGGTTGGACCTAACAATTGTACCAAAAATAGACCTGTTCTGGTACAATTCTCAAATGAAGAAGTAGTGGAGCACATAATGAAGATGAAGCATTTACGCAGAGGCAGTGAAACCCATTACGATGTGTTTATTGAGAGGTATATGATGAAAGATGAACAAATAGCCCACAAGGCGAGATGGCAAGCACGGTACCGTATCTTGAGGTTATCTTGAAATGATTTCGGGGCTTTAGTGTCCCCGCGGCCCGGTCCTAGACCAGGCCTCCACCCCCAGGAAGCAGCCCGTGACAGCTGACTAACTCCCAGGTACCTATTTACTGTTAGGTAACAGAGGCATTCAGGGTGAAAGAAACTTTGCCCATTTGTTTCTGCCTCGTGCGGGAATCGAACCCGCGCCACAGAATTACGAATCCTGCGCGCTATCCACCCAGCTACGAGGCCCCCCCCCCCATAACCCTAGCCTTTCACGTAGCTTCACCTCCCAGGTCACCTCCCAGGTCACACCCTCCCCTACCCTCCCCTCCTATACCTTTCCCCTGCTTTAACCCCCAACAACTCCCCTGCCCCTACTACATCGCACATGTCAGCGACCCTCACGGGACAAGCCATACCCTCCCCAAACGCACCTTCCCACCCCTCCTCCCCTTCCCACACCCCTCCTCCCCTACCCCTCCAACTCCCCTGCCCCTTCTACCCATTGCCTCCAATTCCACCTTGCTCCATCCCAGCTTCCATTGCACCCCTCTTCCCCTCACCCCCAAATCCCACCCAACCCTCACCCCTCCTCTGCACCTCCGGCTCCCATATAACCCCCCTCCCCTTGTGCCCCCTTAACACCTTTCCCCATCTCCCTTTTCCCCTCTTCTACCCCAAACACCCCACCCCCTACCTGGTCATAGGCCTGATCGACAACCGGGCCGCGGGGACGCTGAGCCCCGGAAGCACCTCAAGGTAAGCTCAAGGTAAGGTACCCCTGATTTCCCTCTGACTAATACACCCTCTCTTCCACTCCCAGCACCCATGCTCCATTCTCCCCTCAACCCTCTGCCACCCCACTATCCCTCTCCCCCTCAACCTCTCAACCTCTATCTGACTCTCAGTCTCACTCTACTTCTCAACCCCCTATGCCATTCAGACCCCCTATGCCCTTCCTACCCCCCTAGATGCCCAGCCCCCATTCGCCTACCAGGCACCCTCAGGCACCCCCAGCACCCCTGCAGACACCCCCTCCAGCCCCCATTCGCCCCCCAGTCCCCCACCCCCCAGACCCCCGGTGAAAAGGGGAACTCTGTCACCAGAGTTTCCAAAGAGAATCTCAAGGTTTGGTACACCAATGCTGATGGGTATCCAACAAAGCAGAAGAGATAAAATAAAGAGTTAGTGAGGCAGACCCAGACATAGTGGCAATAGTGGAAACTAAAATAAATGGAATGATCTCGGATGCAATCTTTCCAGAGGGGTACCAGGTGATAAGAAAAGAAAGGACACAGAGACAGATATGAGAAAGGAAAGGAAGTGTGAGCTCATGAAGGTACACAAGGTGAATGTGTAGAAGGTTAGGGTAAGTATGTGTGACAGTGACAGACAGAACAGGCACAAGCCAAGGGGGGGCGGCGGAGCGTGATGTAGAGGTTGATGACGGACAGAGTTAGATCGGTTCAGAGCACGACTGTATTGCAGGTCGAGGGCGGGAGGAGCCTGAGTTCGCGCCGCCACATACGAAGGACATTGTCGGAATGTAATGTCATGAGCACCACCACCACAGTTCGAGCAGCAGAGTATATCTGACGCGCAGTCACGTGTGTAATGGGAACCAGAGCATTTCTCACATTTGATGTCGTTGGTGCAGCTTTTCGAGGTATGGTGAAAACCCTTACATCGAGAGCTTTGAGTGGGACGGGGAACGCACACCTCTAGTTTATGGAGGAAGCCGTCAATCCAAACCCGATCAGATGGAAAGTAACGTAGAAAAGTAAGTAGGGCAATGTCGGTATCACTCAGTTCTCTATTTGTCTTACGCATAAATTTCCTGACATCGAAGTTGGGAATGTCAGCAGCCTGAAGATGTCTTGATGTCGTCTGCACTAATGTCAACAACATGATGAACGACATATCCCGCCAACCAGTCACCCAGTGGTTCGTAGTATGCGACCGTGTAACCACAGAGTTCTGTAACATGCGAAAGTGTCAGATCCTCGCTGTGAGTGTGGTCCACTGCAGTTAAGTTCCGTCGTTTATTTAGTCTGATATCGTGCACCTTGATCATAACAAACTTGGGAGTGGCATGATAGAGGAAACTTTGTGTCTTACTATTTCCAAAAACACTCCTGTTTTGGGAAACACAGGATTCTCTTCCACACAAAATCTATATAAATATGCAAACCTGTGTAAAATTCTTCCTACACATCGTAAGATTGAAAACAGTCCATGAAAATCATAATGGGGGTCTCCGTAAATGGCAATATTTCTTAAAGCATTTGATTTAGGTCTATCCCGATCAGCCTATGTCCATCCCATACCACAGATCACTTCCCCTGCAATGTTGGGTGAGCCAAGCCCCCCCCCCCCCTCCCCAAGTGTCTGGCCTCCAACATGGACCAACGGACTTTCTATCTTATAGTCTAGATTATTGTCCGTTCTGGGCGACTGATGATGACACTGCCATAGTCATCCAGGCTTGGTGCCTTCCTTTGGTAAGAAATCACTTCCATTGTTAAATGTTCTAAGTACGGAAAAATGCTACAGGATATCACAAAGTTTCTCTACGCCCAGGATCTAACTTACCCTCTCCAGCTTGCCAAGCTTTCCTGAATGACTTTAGTTAGTTTATGGCAAGTTTAGATACATAAAGTTAGCTTAGTTCAGATTAGGTTAGGAATGAGTTGGAAATAGCTTAGTTCAGATTAGGTTAGGAATGAGTTGGAAATAGCTTAGTTCAGATTAGGTTAGGAATGAGTTGGAAATAACTACTTCCCCCTGGCTCCATGTGCCAGTATAGAATTATCTTCCTATAGAGTATGTGTTTTATGTAATCAGAGTCTGTGAACGTTTCAGGATATGAGTACGGGTCAGTGCTCATCCGGATCGTTTGATGAAGCCATAGAACTCCAGCCTCGCACAGCCACAGATGTAACTCAGCTCCAGAACCACGTTGTCCAGGAGTCAAGTTTCGAAGACCCAGTATACTCTCCATCCTACCTCTCTACACCTACGTTTACCTCAAATGAAGTCAACGCTAGCAAGAACAAGACTGAAGCAACTCCCGTCGAAATACTCATTGATCTCCACGATGAAAATTGTGCTTTACCGGAAGATACCAATTTGACAAATGGGTGCTCTAGCCCCAGAAGCAATGGCCCAGTTGCCTCTCAAAATGGTCAGGTCAATGGGAAAACGAGGGAGAAGCACCTAACTTTTTCTGAATCAACAGAGCAGTTTCTCAGTGCCAAGACGAGCCCATCTAAAGAAAATGGGTCGGTCATAATTAGAAGTAAAAATAATAATGAAGATGTTAGCAAAGGAGTCATATGTGTCAATGTGAATAAGAACAGTCTAAAATCAACAAGCCCTCTCCAAGTTGACTCACATATAATTAAGAAAAACAACAAAGGGAAAGAACAAGAAACTATGTTGTAAATTAGTCTTTTTACATAAATAATGAATGAAAAGATATATATACCAGATTATTTAGAATAGAAGAGTATGATGTGTATGATACCACGGGTCTTTCCTCCTATCTTTGCCATGTTATGTGGCACAGAATGTGATCTCTCTCTCTTCATTCAAGTTACTGACCTGTAAAACACTTCCTTTGGCGTCTTACCAGAAAAACTGTTTCTTCCTGAATGGTGCAGATTCTAGTTCTTTTACCGTATCTAAAAAACTAATTCACGTTTTTACATATAACTTACAAGCAACAAGTAAACTTTTCAAGTAAAAAGTTTGATTTGGAAAAGAACTTATCCTCGTGACATTTATACAGCAGAACTCCTAAAAGAAATCTATATAAACTTTATTAACGAAGGCAGTGATGAGTTTTCTGAAACTTTAAGAATGTCTCTTGGTAATAATCTGTACATACAGGACTACATTTTCCTGTCTATTTTGACAGTTAATACTGATTCATTGTGGTGAGGGAGTCGGCTACTACTGAGTACTTTATACAGTATTTATTTTTAGTGATGTGCCAGTATCTTCTGTGATGGGGGAAAGTCAAATGGAAAGTTAGAGGTGCTGTAGTTTTAAGAACAATGTGCCAGAACTCTTTGTCACATTATTAGACGTGTGGCGGAACAATTGGCGTGTCAGTGCGTGTGTGTGTGTTTGTCAGAAAATTGTCACGTGTGTGTTGGAATAATTGTCACATCAATACGCGTGTCAACAAGTGACACATCAATACGCGTGTCAACATGTGTCACATCAATACGCGTGTCAACAAGTGACACATCAATACACGTGTGTCAACAAAGTGTTACATCAATACACGTGTGTCAACAAGTGTCACATCAATACGCGTGTCAACAAGTGTCACATCAATACGCGTGTCAACAAGTGTCACATCAATGCGCGTGTCAACATGTGTCACATCAATACGCGCGTCAACAAGTGTCACATCAATACGCGTGTCAACAAGTGACACATCAATACACGTGTGTCAACAAAGTGTTACATCAATACACGTGTGTCAACAAGTGTCACATCAATGCGCGTGTCAACATGTGTCACATCAATACGCGCGTCAACAAGTGACACATCAATACGCGTGTCAACAAGTGACACATCAATACGTGTGTCAACAAGTGACACATCAATACGTGTGTCAACAAGTGACACATCAATACGTGTGTCAACAAGTGTCACATCAATACACGTGTGTCAACAAGTGTCACATCAATATGTGTGTCACAACAGTTGTCACATCAGTACACGTGTCGGAACAAATTTTGTCAGTGGAGAGATTTATGTATGTAACATACATGGTATGTTATGTGTGAGATATTATGTATACAAATATCACATATTTGTAATGTATATGTAAACAAGATGTGTAATAATGAGTGTGTCTTTGTGTCTGTTTATGCTATATGAGCCATCATGGCTTATTTTAATAAAAGCGAAGCACAGTATATAATGAACATTTTCAAACCAATTATCAGTACAAGACATTTACTGCAAAATGTTTATATAAAAAAACATTTCAAATACGGTAGTAAATATATATATATATATATATATATATATATATATATATATATATATATATATATATATATATATATATATATATATATATATATATATATATGAGCTGTGCTATATAAATATTGTAGCTCATATTCTATATGAAGACGTTTTACATACCAACTCTCTTCTGGAGATTCACGGTGTATATTTTTGTAAAGAAATTCAAGTCACCATAGATGTAAGAACAAGGATTATATGCACAAAATCATACATTAAAGGTATAGTCACATACCATTCCCCTGTATGTAAGTTGGTAGCAATACAAAGACTTCTTTAATTTAAATACCTCACTGTTATGGCGTGACGGTGTTATAATGTATGTAAATGACACAATATCTCAAAAACATACATAGTTATAACTCTGCCACTAGATTGCTTGATCTCTTTACGTGTGTGTGTGTGTATGAATGTGTGTATGTGTGTGTGTATGTGAATGTGTGTGTGTGTGTGTGTATGAATGTGTGTGTGTGTGTGTAATTACCTGAGTGTAGTTACAGGATGAGAGCTACGCTCGTGGTGTCCCGTCTACCCAGCACTCTTTGTCATATAACGCTTTGAAGCTACTGACGGTCTTGGCCTCCACCACCTTCTCCCCTAACTTGTTCCAACCGTCTGCCACTCTGTTTGCGAAAGTGAATTTTCTTATATTTCTTCGGCATCTTTGTTTAGTTAGTTTAAATCTATGACCTCTTGTTCTTGAAGTTCCAGGTCTCAGAAAATCGTGTGTACTCACCTAATTGTGCTTGTGGGGGTTAAGCTTTGGCTCTTTGGTCCTGCCACTCAACCGTCAATCAACTGGTGTACAGGTTCCTGAGCCTACTGGGCTCTATCATATCTACATTTAAAACTGTGTATGGAGTCAGCCTCCACCACATCACTGCCTAATGCATTCCATCCGTTAACTACTCTGACACTGAAAAAGTTCTGTCTAACGTCCCTGTGGCTCATGTGGGTACTCAGTTTCCACCTGTGTCCCCTTGTTCGCGTACCACCAGTGTTGAATAGTTTATCCTTGTCTACCCTGTCAATACCCCCTGAGGATTTTGTAGGTAGTGATCATGTCTCCCCTTACTCTTCTGTCTTCCAGTGTCGTAAGGTGCATCTCTCGCAACCTTTCCTCGTAACTCATGCATCTTAGCTCCGGGATTTGTCTAGTGGCATACCTCAGAACTTTTTCCAGCTTCGCCTGAATGATTCCTTACACAGATTCCTGAATGCTGTTCTCATGTTAGCCAGTCTCGCATATGCCGCAGACGTTATTCTTTTTATGTGGGCTTCAGGAGACAGGTTTGGTGTGATATCAACCCCCAAGATCTTTCTCTCTGTCCGTTTCAAGAAGTACTTCATCTCCCATTTTGTATCCTGTGCCTGGCCTTCTGTTTCCGCCGCCTAATTTCATTACTTTACATTTACTCGGGTTGAACTTGAGCAGCCATTTGTTGGACCATTCATTCAATCTGTCCAGGTCATCTTGTAGCCTCCTACTATCATCCTCTGTTTCAATCCCCCTCTTAATTTTTGCGTCATCAGCAAACATTGAGAGAAACGAATCTATACCCTCTGGGAGATCATTTATTTATTTATTTTTTTTTTTAGATATATACAAGAGTTGTTACATTCTTGTACAGCCACTAGTACGCGTAGCGTTTCGGGCAGGTCCCTGGAATACGATCCCCTGCCACGAAGAATCGTTTTTTCATCCAAGTACACACTTTACTGTTGCGTTAAACAGAGGCTACAGTTAAGGAATTGCGCCCAGTAAATCCTCCCCGGCCAGGATACGAACCCATGACATAGCGCTCGCGGAACGCCAGGCGAGTGTCTTACCACTACACCACTACAGTATTTACATATATCAGAAACAATATAGGACTGATCCCTGCGGGACTCCACTTGTGACGTCTCGCCAATCTGAGACCTCACCTCTCACAGTGACTCAATGTCTTCTGTTGCTTAGGTACTCCCTTATCCAATAGAGCACCTTCCCTTTCACTCCAGCCTGCATCTCCAGCTTTTTCACTAGCCTCTTGTGTGGTACTATATCAAAGGCTTTCTGGCAATCCAAAAATATGCAGTCTGCCCACCCCTCTCTTTCTTGCCTGATTTTTGTTGCCTGGTCATAGAATTCAATTGACCCTGTGAGGCAGGACTTGCCATTCCTGAACCCATGTTGATGCTGTGTTACAAAGTTCCTTCGCTCCAGATGTTCCACTAGCTTTCTTTGCACAATCTTCTCCATCAACTTGCATGGTATGCAAGTTAGGGACACTGGCCAGTAGTTCAGTGCCTCCTGTCTATCCTCTTTCTTATATATCGGGACTACGTTAGCTGCTTTCCAAATTTCTGGCAGTTCCCCTGTTGCCAGTGATCTGTTATACACTATGGAGAGTGGCAAACACAGCGCTTCTGCTCCTTCCTTTAGTATCCAAGGAGAAATTCCATCTGGGCCTATAGCCTTTGTCACATCCAACTCTAGTAACAACTTTCTTACTTCCCCGCTGGTAATATCAAACTCTTCCAGTGGTTCCTGGTTAACTATTCCCTCTCTTATCTCTGAAATTTCTCCTTGCTCTAAGCTGAAGACCTCCTGGAATTTCTTACGCAGTTCCTCACACACTTTCTTGTCGCTTGTAGTGAATCTTTCTGCCATTATCCTTAATTTCATAACCTGTTCCTTTACTGTTGTTTTTCTCTGATGTGGCTATGCAGCAATTTAGGTTGAGTCTTTGCCTTGCTTGCGATGTCATATTCGTATTGTCTTTCTGCCTCTCTTCTCATCCTGACATATTCATTCCTGGCATTCTGGTATCTTTCTCTGCTCTCCAGTGTCCTATTATTACTATAGTTTCTCCACGCCCTTTTACTTTGCTGCTTAGCTATTCTACATCTCTGATTCGGGTTATGGGTTATGGAATCCCATAACCATGGGTTTCTCATCTTCATTTCGTTGTTTTCCTTTTGGACTGGGACAAACTTGTTTGCTGCCTCCTTGCATTTCTGCGTGATGTAGTCCATCATGTCTTTCCTTGGCCGTCTTTTCCCTGAGCTCAGTTTCCCATGTTATATCTGTTAGGAATCATCTTATCTCCTCATAGTTTCCCTTCCGGAGTGCCAGCCTTTTGTTTTCAGTACCCCTCCTCGACTTCAATAACCCTTCTTCAACAAGATACTCAAACACCAATGTACTGTGCTCGCTCATTCCTACCGGGGCCTCAAAACCGATTTCCCTTATGTCGGAGTCTTTCAGAGTGAAGACTAGGTCGAGTCTCGCTGGTTCATCGTTTCCCCTCATCCTAGTGGGCTCCCTGACATGTTGGCAATAAACTTTCTAAAAGTTTATTGTCGCCACCTCCATTAGTTTGGCTCTCCAAGTATACTCTCCTCCATGCGGTTCCTTGTGTGTACTCACCTATTTGTGCTTGCAGGATCGAGCATTGACTCTTGGATCCCGCCTTTCCAGCCATCGGTTGTTTACAGCAATGACTCCTGTCCCATTTCCCTATCATACCTAATTTTAAAAGTATGAATAGAGTTTGCTTCCACAACCTGTTCCCCAAGTGCATTCCATTTTTCCACTATCACGCTAAAAGAAAACTTCCTAACATCTCTGCGACTCATCTGTGTGTGTGTGTGTGCGCGCATACTTGCGTGCATTCGTGTGTGTGTGTGTGTGTGTGTATCTACAAGTTATTATTACTGTATTTTTGTATATTTTGTCAGTTTGTCTACTCTTCATCCATAAAAATTATATATATATATATATATATATATATATATATATATATATATATATATATATATATATATATATATATATATATATATATATATATATATATATATATATATATATATATATATATATATATATATATATATATATATATATATATAATATGTACATTATATATATATATATATATATATATATATATATATATATATATATATATATATATATATATATATATACACACTGTATACTGTATATTCTTTTATATAGAGAAAGATAAAATATGTGTAATAGCAATTGTTCAATGGATAAAGCAATGTGTTATTGATTACAATAGCTTGTTCTTATAATAATGTTAATTGCCATGTTAACTACATATTTTCATGTTGACTGTGGCTGGTTGAATGCTCAGCAGGTGCCCCACATTATATATATTGCACCTGAGCTTTAAAATTTAAACTAATTTCCGTAAAACAAAACTTGGCCTAATCTTGAGCTTTAATTGTCTTAGACAGGTATAAGTTTAATATTCAGTTTTCTTATCAGTTAAAGATTTTATTCAAGTTTTTTCACTTCAAAAGTTCTTTGAAAATCAGGAGTTACTTATATCGAGATCAGTCCATAATCAGCTTCATTGTTTAGTAAGGTGTAACAGATTCGTTTGATCTCCTCTCGCATTTAACACAAATATGTAGTTTTTAAAGTGGTGTGTGTGTG